ATGTAGAATCATGCAATCCAACTTGATTCGAACCGACTTCACAGTTAAAGGATAGCTCCGATCGATTTCATGTGTGGGTAATTTAGGATGGGTTTCATTCAATAAAAGCTTCAGATAACCGACTCGATGTCTGTTAGCAAAAGTCTTTACTCGTGCTTGGTCTTTCTTCTAAAAAACTCATTCTTAGATACATATTTAGACGCATGCTCAAACATTACGGCGGCTTAAACTAAAAGGACTCATTACATGCGTGACGGATCAATAAATGAGTTAGAACTATTTGCACTTTTGATCTAGCAAAAAAGATCTCAAACACATGATCGTGAATAGTTGACGATAATGTCAATGGTGTTGACATGTGAAACATTTTTCTCTTAAAATCAAATTCTCATTTGAGTTTGCTTTTAGATAGTAGACAAAAAGTGGAAAATATCAAACAAATACAGGCCACAATAAAAATAAAAGTTTTGAATGACAAATGCATGAAAAATGCTGTTTCTCTAGTATTCTGCGTCACAGAAAATATCGACTACACTGCGATGAGTTTTAACAGCTAGAAACAGAAGAAATGTGATATTTGAGAACACGATATTTGTTTCTAAGTATAAGTGTCATATTCCCATTACTATTACTACTAAGTGGTAAGTGATTAAGATTATCATGTCAGGAAAAATCGATGATGGTTAAATGAACCATTTATCACTGCTATATGGGAAAATTTACAATCATAAAAATACTCACGGCTCTCTTAGTTGGTGGAAGTAATGGTATTACTAAGTGTGACACTTCTATTCGTGAATAGAACTCGATGAAAGAAAGTGTTATTTCGATGATGCGTATACTAATGATAGGTGATATAAAACACTTAGAAATATTTTAGAAAATTTTTTTTTATGACGCAGTATCTATCTATATATATATATATATATACATATATTAATGATTCAAGCTACAATAAATTTGCATGTATACTAATTTATTCTTTTCATTTATTCTTGTCATTTATTCTTTTCAATCGTGTGAAAGACGTTATTCCTTTCATGTTGTATGTTGAACTGCATGAATGATTCTATATAAGTGCTACTTCGTCGTTTTCATTCTGCATCCTACACATCTAAACAAATGAACATCATAAAATTATAGCTGTATCAACAATAATGTACTATTTTAGAAAACCAGGTCGATATAAAAATAGATGACACAATACAGATTTACACTAAAAAAAAGGATTTTACCGAACCAAAGAAGGTTTATTCCGTCATTACTCGGAAGATCCTTTTTTTTGGTTTCGGAGAGAATACAGTTTTTGTGAGGTTCTCGTTCTAGGAATGTGTATATGAACTTTAACCTACAATATACAGGGTGATTGAAAATTAGATCCTTAATTTAAATTCTTTATTACTCCCATACAACACAAGACATCGCCCTGATTTTTTCATCATGTTGAAACACGAAATTGGCTTAAAGAATATAAAAATAACTTCTTATTTTGAATCTGCTATATAAATATCTTTTTGGTAATAGCTAGAATAATTAAGACAGCGGTATATGTTTTTCGCTACTTCTCATGGTTGTAATGCAAAGAAGATGATGTCATGTATCTCTTTTATAACTAGGCAATACGTGAAAGTGAAGAGTGAAATGTAGAATAGGAAAGAAAGAAAATAGTTTTAGAATATCAATAATTATCGCTAATGGACGAAGAAAGAGAAAAGAAAAGAAGAGAAGGTAAACAAAATGAGTATATACATGTCAGTGGCGGCGGAGCGTAATAGGCCTGGGTAGGCTCCAGCCTACCCTAGCCTGCGAACGGGTAGGCCTGGGTATGCTCAAAATATGCCCTATGAAAGGCCTGGGTAGGCTCGATTTCATGAAAACATTTTCTATTATAGTTTAATATTCCTGCTCTGATAGATGCCTTATTGTTAAAAGATTAGTGTACACTTTCTCTACTATCTACTTGTGTCCGCTGAAGTGTGTTTGTGGGATTTGCTCGTGTGGCGTCTGTATCAAAATCGAGTTGTTTGTTTTTCAAACTCCAGAGTTTAATGTTTGTTTTAAACTTCTGTTTAAAATAAGTTTTGAATTTTAAATGCTTATTTATCATTATTCGTTTCGCATACAACCCATATAAAAAGATAGGATAAAAATCAGATTAAACTTCATTAAAATAAGATTAAAAATCGGTTATGATCACACGCTTTTAATGGATTTTAATCAGAAATAACCGAAAAATAAAAATTTCCTTGATTATTACGATGCATTGCGATTGTAATCAATTAAAAGTTCACGGAAAAAAAATTGATTATAATTGATGAAAACGGGTCTCAATTTGTTCATTTTGTCTCGGGCAAATGTCAATCAAAATCAATTTTTTCCTCGAACTGCTAATCGATTTTAATTCCAGTTCATCGTAATAATCAAGAAAATTTTGATCTTTTCGATTGTTTTTGATTAAAAATCGATTAAAAGTATATGATTGTTACAGATTTATAAACACTTTTCGATTGATTTTCTCGTCAAAGTTTTTTACATAGGAATGCTGGCTAAAGAAAGTTAGATTATGTCTTTTCAAAGTAAAAAACAAAGACTAATAATAGTTCTCAGTATACATTAAGAAAAATTAGATGTGCTTGATTTGAAATATATCCATTCTGATTTTATCTTAAAGACCAGAGTTGAAAGACTCTTTTGAGCACGAATAGTTTAATTTTTTCCTCATCTATTTTTTGACTATTTTCAAGCAGTATTTCTATGTTACACTATCAGTTCATGTTTTCGTTTGAAAAAATAAAGCATCATGTAGTTACTAAATTTCAACAATAACCAAAGTCGGCAAGAAGGAATAAACGATTAACAGCTAAAAAGATCTTCGTCTAATTTGCTCAGAGGTGCAGAATCTTCCGTAAAAATGAAAAATTTCTCCAAACGCAGAGAAATCAGTCAAAAAGATCTCTCAGTATTGAAGTAAAACAAAAGTTTTTTTTAAAATATTTTTGTCAAATAAATGAAAAGAGAGAAGAGACAATGATATGTTTAAAATATACTATCCTAATGAACATATCAGATCATTTACGTATAAAATAATATTTTTATCTAAAAAATTTCTTTATTATTTTCTCATAGAAAAAAATTCAAAGTCAATAATATTTCAAAAATTTCCCCGAACGCGCGCGCGTTCGCGCAGAGAAGCATATTCTGCACCTCCGAATTCGCTACCTTGACTGGTTCATTTGAAAAACTGAGCCTACCCTACAACGAAATCGTTCCGCCGCCTATGATACATGTATATATAGAAAGAGGAAGAAAACAAACTCGAAGAGAAATCATTTATTGATCGTACACAACAACAGATATTAAAATAAGTGATCTATGTTTTCCTATAAGAACAATAAACTGCTTAAAATAAAAAGTTATTTTTATATTCTCTAAACCAATTTGTGCTTCATCTTAGACAGTCGAATAATCAATCGACTTATTTCATCTAAAACAAATTGGCATAGTCCATACCTCAACATGATGAAAAAATCAGGACGATTTCTTTTGTTGTATGGGAGTACTAAAGAATTTAAATTAGAGATATAATTTTCAATCACCCTGTAATTGTAAGGTTAACGTGAAATCTCACTATAGAAAGTCAAGCCTACCATATCCTATAAGAATATAAAAGATAAAGATGATAATGGCCACGTTTATTAAAGATAAACAAGGACAACATAGGGAAACAAGAAACACTGACCGAAAATGAAGAAAAACAACTTCTTATATATGATGAAGACATTGAGAGAAACAGAAAGAAAATGAAGAAAATAACAGAGAAAGAGAAAAGGACATAATCATCAAGATCTTCATGAGAAGATGATGATCACAAAAAATACGCACTCTACAGGAAAGAAAGAAAATATGTGTGTAAGTGACTAGAAGGAATGTTGGGAAAGGAAAGAAAAACGAAAACATATATATATGAGATAAAGTCATAATGTAAAAACAGTTGCCAGTAACAGTTTCGTATTGATTCTACTGTATTACGTCGAACAATAAAATGTCGAACGCAGAAATATCGAAAGAAAAAATCTTGAGGCTATGGGTGTGAGTTTGGCTGTACGGATGTTGGTATGAGTGTTAGGTGAATATCATATTCAGTCACACCCACACCCACACCCACACCCTCACACACACACACACACCCACATCCACACCCTCAAGTGAACTGAAAAAAGATTGACAAGCCTAAATTAGAATAACACAACTAGCCAAGGTACGTAACGTTAAAGATTTGAGAATTCAGAACGTCTATCATCATATTTACATCGATCAACACGAATAAAAGGAGGAGGAATACTATTAACACGATAACTACACCAATAACGATCATCAGCAACAGTAGTATCATAATCAATACAAGTGACATGAATACATTCTAGAGGGTGTGGGTGTGGGTATATATGAATATTATATTCATCCCACACAAACATCTACACCCTTCTGAAGGGTGTGGGTATGGGTGTGCGTGTGAGAGAAGAAGAGACAGCAATGATCACACCCACATCCGCACCCACTAATGAACTGAGAAAATTGACTTCCAAAACCATCTGAACTTGAACAATTAATAACTAATGTCAATCATTAGGCAAATTTGTCGAGTGAACAGTGGTAATATTATCATCATTCATTTACTTCCTTTGTTGATATCAATAGTTTGATTCGTTACTTAGCATAAGAAGAATCAATAATGATCTTAAATAATAACAAATACGGTTTACAATTTCACGATTATTATTCTGCAATTCATTATTGTGCAATAAATACAATATTCAGTCCCACACATTCGCACTTGAAATTTATTTTTCAGAAACGTATTTTCACAACACAAAAAGCGTTAAAGCAAAGCTTTTGTTCATTAGTCTTTTTAATTAAAAATATTGCTTGAATATAACTTGAGTATTCTGTAAATATGTTATATATTATAGAGAAAGCAGAGAATCTTTTTTATAGTTTTTTTAAGGATTAGCAAGTGCATAAACGTCCATAGCAGTCACTTCTCGAGAATAAACACGAAATTCATCGAGAGAACCAAAATAAACACCTGTAGCAATTGACATTGGATTGCAGGAGCCACCCAACATTGGATTTCCCAATGTTAAGATAACTGCTTTTTGTGCAGCACCATATGACATCACACCTGTAGTACCACTATATACTCCATTTATATAAAATCGAAGTCCATTTATGGTCGAGAAAGTACTAGCGACATGCGTCCAGACGTTGATGGGTAGAACTGGACCTACCACTTCCTTGCCTGAATTGTCCCAATTGGTGGCTACTATTTCACCAGTAGAACGAAATCCTAAAAGGCTAACACACCATCCTAGTCCATCTGTTTGTGTTGAAAGATGAACAAGAGTTCCACCACCTGTTGATGTTCGTTTAACCCACAAAGCAATGGAATATGTATAGTTCGAGATTCCAAGAAGAACAAAACTTTGTATCTAAATAAATATTATACATTAAATGGTCTTATTGTTGTTTTCATCATTTTCTAGTTATTTTTATACAAAGTCTACTCATGAGCGCTGATCGGATACACAGTTAGATGAAATCAATGAATCAACTGAATTTTAAATATGTATTAATTAGTCAAACTGTATCTCTTAGTATGTACACTCAATTGACTTCGATATATTCAAGTTTTTGTTTAGACTATTAACGGTAAACAGTTAAATAATTTCAACAACATACCTGATAATAAGATGAATTTGAATTGAAACTTAATGCTTGATTCACCTTTCCAGTTGCTAAAGTAACATCATTAGTTTTTGTAATTAGTCCAAGCGGACCTGAGTCCTGCAATGGTATACTATCAAATGAATGCCATGTAGTCAAAGTAGCATCGGTAAGTATTTCGCTATCAGTTTTAGTTCGCATGCTCAGTGCAACATTATCAATGTAACTAAACATATAAGAATAATATATAATCAATAAACAAAATAAGATCTTTCTTTTCAAATCCTATAATCTTAAGATAAAATTAGACTAACAAACAATAAATAAAAATGAAATGCTAGACAATTTTTCAGCGCTCTCTATCGATTGACTAATTATAAAACCATGAAAATAAAATTTTTAATACACAATAGACAACATTGATTTAGATATTTTCAAAATCAATGAAGTCAACAAAAAAATGATTCACTCATTTTTCCTTACCCATCGAAACATTGAAGTGTATGATCATAATCCAAATATGTGCCAATATTAATCGTACCACTCACACCTCTATATGGCCCAGCTGGACTACGATAACAATCTTGATTTCCATTCAAATACGCCATTTGTGACCGTGATCTATAGTCATAGACGAAAGCGACATGATACCACGTGTTCGTTGATAGTGCAGTTGAACATGGAAGATCATCACTGTAAAAACCCATGTATAAACGATTATTCTTAATCTTTAAATGTAATAGACGAGCAATTACTGCATCATCACGTTGTGAGAAGAGTGCGTAAAAGACACTAGTATTTAATAAAGTAGGATAAATCCACATTTCCACTGTAAAACTGACATAAGAGAAATTTTGATATGTTGTTATTGTGACATATTGAGTATTATTACGAATGAGTTGCAAAGCATATCCACTGCCAGTAATTCCAGGTGTTACATAAATAGGTGAATTGACAGCTTCTCCATTGAAATTTGATATACTATCTAAAGTATTGCTATCAAATTGCCAGAAACTAGATGGGCCAAATGTATATAAGGTTGTTTCTAAACAACAATTGATAATATTAGCATTGATTCATATATTTAGACTCTAATTTACTGACATTTTTACACAAGAAAAAAGTCTTCTCTGACAGTAATAAGAGGATATAGATCTTATTTTACTGTTTCCTATTGTTCAATGAACACACATCTAAATATGTCTTTTTAATAATTCAATATATATTTCTTGCAGATGATAAGTGTTATAAACGATGATATACTCTATTCATGTTCGTCTTTTTCTTAAATGCAATAGGAATTGCACAATGATAGCTCACAATAATACAGAGTATTCGATTCTCAAAAAAGTCATATTTACCGATGATTTCATTCAAAAATTGAAAATAGTAAAATAAAATATTTTTCCTGCTTAAGTTATTATATTTATTCGTCAGAATGAGTCAAAAATTACTTTATCGAAAAAAAATGAGTTATCTCTCGTACGATTTGAGCAAACGATCTTATTTCTTATTAATGTCTTAATTAAAAAGACTGACCTTGAGCTAGTTGACCAATATCACTTAATGACAATTCACGAGAAAAGATTTTTAATTCATCAATCTTTCCGTGAAATTGTGATGGAACAATTGTTGTTGTATTAACAGCACATGTATCTGGAGAAAGACAAGTTCCGATAGTAATTGTACTTATTTGTCCACTAGCCGAGTAGCTTGTAACAGTATTATTACCAACAACGAATGTTCCATTTATAAACAATTGAATACCATTTATAGTTGAATAAGTCATAGCCACATGAGTCCATTGATTTAGTGATAATGTATCAGAAAATAACGAAGCAGCATAAATGCCATTACTACCCATTGTCTGGATTGTTAGATGACCAGAAATATCAAAACCAATCATGGGTACACACCAACCATTTGAAGAGCTGACCTAATTAATCAAGATAGATTCGATATGATGACTATATTTAGATGAATTTTACCTGAAGAATAGTACCATCATTGACGAATGGATAAATCCATAAAGAGAATGAATATGGATAATTCGTTTGACCAAGATAATAGAAACCTGTTGTTTGAAAGTAAGATAAATTTATCGAATTGATCAATAAGGATTGATTAAATCGACCAGACGAATCAAACATAGTTGAGACACTAGTACTATTAATGATCTGATTGGGTCCGAGATCAGTATACGAATTATCGAATGGATAATAAGCAACAAGAGTGGCTTCGTCAAGAAGTTCAGCAGTTGTTTTAACACCTGGTACAAATGTCAATTTATCAATGAAACCATTATTAGTAATAAATCCCGGAGCGAATGATGGTATGGCTCCAACAGTCAGTACGCTTGCAGTACCCTTGTAAGGACCAGAAGTTACTCGACGTCCATCTTGAATTCCTTTTAAATAAACAATCTGTCTGGATGATAATCGATCGTAAACGTAGGCAACATGATACCATTGGTTGGAATTCAGCAAAGTACTTCCCATTAAATCATCGTTGAAGAAACCTAAAAAGACTCTGCCACGATCTATTCCAATGTGCAGACACGTATCTTGAGTAGTTAAGTTACAATGAACAAATAATACAAAGAAATTTTCATTCAACGATAGATTTGCTGGAATCCATACCCAAGCAGAAATCGTGAAACTAGTTGGATTGAAATTAAGATAATGATTGATGAGTAGATAATTGGTAGGTAAAAACCAAACGGCACTTCCATATCCAGTATAGCCTGGTGACATCCATGTAACATTACTGTTATTGTCTAAATATCCATTATAAATACCATATGCATCGCTGAAATCACCATCGAATAACCATTGAATAATAGCTGGTGGATTAACTGGAACTACAACAAAATAAACTTATTAAGTATTTTTTAACAAGAGCTTAGGTCGAGTTTCTTTTCTATAGATGAATATCTATAACATAACTAACACTGATAGCGTCTGAGTGCCTGTTAATCTTTGGGGATCTTTAGAAATTGTTTCAGTTATCATTCGTATTATTTTTTAATCGATATCATTGTGATTAAATAACTCGAATGATCGCAGATATTTTTTTTGCTGAGCTTAAACTTCTCAACTGAATAATTACTATTTAAAATACTAATAGATATGGACATATGTGGTTTGTTTCGACATTGATATTGTGCACAGAAATTAAGAATAAACGGTATTCTATATTTTCTTTTAAGTAAATAATCCCGTTCTTATAAATATTGCTGATAAAAACTAGATTGTAGTTTCCAAAATAATCTACCTCGCACTCATCCATGGATGTTACTTTAGATGAAAGCATCAGTATAATGTCACACCATTTGTACACATTCGATCTAACGCTATATTAATTTTCAGATCAAATTATTATATTTAAATCTACTTTCGATGATAGAACTAATAAAACACAATTAACCAGAATTATTTTCGAAAGAATCAAGAATATTGAAGAAAAAAGTTTCAATACACTGTTAACAGATGATACGACAGGATTGTACTTCACATAATTAATGAAAGGAACTATTCTGATCATCTAATAGAACAAAACTAAATATTCTTTTTATTAATACAACTCCTATATGATCCTCTGAAATTGATCTTCGAATATTTCATATCTCACACAATATAGTTCAAACATGATACTCTATGTGAATTTGAAGCCTCTGCATGGTAAGGTATCAAGTTTTTCTTTAGTTCAAAATTCTGAGTCAAGTATCTCGAAAGCTATTTTAAAATGATCGACGTTCTCCACTCTTATCCAGTTATGATATCTTTCATTATTAAAATTCTACGGTTCAGTAATAATTGAATAGAGTAATCAATATGATCTATCTTAATAGAACCTCTTTTTTATGAAAGAAATGATGTTATAAAAATGCCGGACACAACCAAGCCAGGTGAGTTTATCAGACACTCACTGTACTGTAACAAAGTTTGGATCATGAAAAACTTTCGCTAGATTAAGCCTTACATATAAAATGACTTCGCTAGACGGACAAAAATCTATACCCATAACTCAAAACTTCTCAATACAGTGATTAAGAAAAAAACCAATATCAAAACAACTACGAAACATCGATCGCATTACTCACTTGTAGTTGTAATTGTCGTTGTGGATGTTGTCGACGTAGTTGCCGTTGTATCGTATCGTAAAAATCGTTGCACTCTGTTATTAGCACTATCCGCTACATATAAATTCAACTGACCATCGAGTAATATCCCATAGGGTTTATTTAATTGAGTAGCACTGATGCCAGGTGAACCAGTAAGACCTGCAATTGTCGTAGCACTAAACTGACCAGCCAAAAAAAACTGAATCCGATGATTGGCTGCATCAGCTACATATAAATTGTGATATTGATCTAATGCTACACCAACAGGATTATTCAAAAGCGTCGATGAAGATCCGCTTGCTCCAGTAGCACTACCAGCAAGAAGTGTCCAATCCGTAGCGCCTATCACCCAACGAACAACATTGTGAGCTGCATAATTGGCAATTATTAAACTATTTGTCGATAAATCTAAAGTAAACCCGAATGGGAACCACAATTGTGAGGTGTTTAATCCTGGTCCATTGCCACCAGCCATGACAGTACTTGACGAAGCACCCTGAAGGTATTCGATTATTCGATGATTATTGACGTCACTTATGTAAAGAGTACCCGAGTTCGAATCACGTTCGATCATGTTAGGATTACTAAACTGATTGTTGGCACTTCCACTAGAACCTAAAAACAATTTGAATATAATGATTTTTATGAAAGAAATCTCTAATTACTATATTTTATTTTGATAATGACATCTAGTTCGAGGATAGAATTATCGATATTGAAACTGTTCATTTGTTGTTTATATACTCAAAAAGACAGTGTCAACATGTGAAACAATATTTCATGAATGTATCGTTAAGATTTCAAATAGCAAGGCTGACGATGATATACCACATAAAAGCTTATGAAAACAGGAATTACCTATAGAATTATGAAAAATTTCAAATTTTGAGCACTTCTATGATGACTTCATATTTTAGTGATTAGCCACCTATGAAAACGTCTAATTAGATGTGCAAAATTTAAAACTTTCTATAATTCTATAGACAGTTATTCATTTTATGAATGAACAATTACACTTCTGAATCTCATTTTCATAAGCTTTTGTGTAGTATATCATCATTAGTCTTGCTATTTGAAATTATAAAGTTACTCTCTGTAATAATATTATCTCCAGTCCTGTATTAAATTTCTATTCATCTGTACCCATCGATATATATATTACAGACGAATTCATTGTGACTTTTCTGATCTAGATATCGAACCTTCAACATAAACAAATCTTTTCTCTACTATATTTACTTTACAAGACAATAAACAAAGAATGTCAAAATGTTTAAAAAGTTTTTCGAACTGTTTCTAATAATAATACTAAGAATGATCAATAAAGATAAAAATTATGAAATAACTATTTTATGGTACACTTCTTATCAGCAGGTAGATCACGTTCTGATGATTTTATTGCTAGCAGTCTGGAATAGGGTAGTGTAAATGCAATATAGAATAAACTTTTTTCATTTTTATTACCTGTCCCAGCGATCATCGAGCCGGATGATGCACCATTCGCCCAGAACATAATTCGATCATTGCTTTTATCAGCGACGTATATGTTGTCACTTGAATCGAGTGCAAGACCGACTGGTCGATACAAAGAAGCAGAGGAAGAACCTGCTGTTCCATTTGCGTGACCGATAACCGTTATACCACTCGAGTTACCTATGATCCATTTTTGTACTCGATGGTTTAACGTATCAGAGACAATGAGAGCATTTGATGAATCAAATTTCAAAACATAAGGCTCACTAAAACGATTGGCGTCTACACCTGACGAACCGCCAGCATCACCAGCCACAGTATTACCACTAGAGTTCCATTCAAATCTGAGATTTGTAACTAAAAACAAAATAATTTTACGATACAACTATTTCCTACAATTTGAGACATCAGTCGGCTACACATAATCTATAGGTATGGAGTTATTGGATTCACAAAATACTATTTTAAACAGAAATTCTATACAATCTTTTTTCTTTTTTTGAGAATACTTAAAAAATGGGATTTTTTCGAATCCTATCTGCTTATGAACTCCTTTCCTCCCTAGTTTTGTCCGATCGGTTTGAAATTTTTACCACAGATACTTCAGGACAGATTCCAGAGGTAGTTTTAAGTCTATCCAACACAATTGCTTTTATTCCTCTTTTCTAAGACATAGATACATATATGTTTCAATCAAGAAGCAAGATCCAAAGATTCTGAGATTAAAAAATCTGTAAAGCAAAGTCGAAAGTGAAAATGGTTAGTTTTAGCTCTGGAATAATTCCTTTATTCACACCCACATCCACCCTGAACAAAGATTTTTGAAAAAACTTTGAAATATATTTTTTTCACATTCAGATGAACTATCTTGGGCGTGGGCGTGTTCTTCTCTTATCGACTGCCACACTCATACCCATCCAACAAACGACTTAGGTAAAATATATAAACAAGCAAAAAACTAAATAGATGCTTATTTAGAACCTATGTGAAAACAGATTTCTGGGATTTTCGATTTATCTCACAGCTGAATATACTACTACTTCCTATAGTGAATACTTTTGGCCGGTTTTGATGATACTCACAATTGAGATGCTTTACTGTAAAACAGTTTCGAGAGTCACAGATTCGTCCAAAAAGTCTTTGAAATGAAAGACTACGGTTTATCTATTAAACTTTCAAATTTAAACAAAAGTTTGAAACAAAACTTTCAGATTTAATCAATTCAGCAACGATTTATGTGACTCAGTACTGAGAATAATCTTGTCTATTACTCACAAGATATTGGTGTTGTTGTTGATGTTGTTTTTGTAGAAGTAGTTGATATTTCTGATAATGCTTCTGATATTGTTTCCCATGATGTTTCTAATGTTGTTTCTGATGCTGGTAATGATGTTTCTGGTGATGCTTCTGATGTCGAGGATGATGTTTCTGATTTTGACCATGTTGTTGTTGATGATGCTGCCGATGATGTTTCTGGTAATGCTTCTAATGTTGTTTCTAATAATGCTTCTAATGTTTCTGATGTTGTTGATGATGTTTCTGATAGTATCTCTAATGTTGTTTCTGATACTGATAATGCTGTTTCTGATGTTGAGGATGAGGTTTCTGATGCCGTTTCCGATGATGTTTCTGGTGATGCTTCTGATGTTGTTGTTGATGATGTTGTTGATGATAATGTTGATGATAATGTTGATGACGTTGATGGTGATGATGTCGTTGTTGATGTTGTTGGTGATGTTGAAGCTGATGTTGTTGAATATGTTGTTGAAGATATTGTTGATGTTGCTGTTGTTTTCATCGTCTCTGCAGTTGTTATTTTTGTTGTTGATTGTTTATTTGTTGTTGTTAATAGTGTGTTTATTGTTGATTTTTCATTTGTTGTTCTTGTTTCAGTTGTTGATTCTTGTGTTGTTAATGTATTTCCATTTTTTGCCTTTTTTGCAAGAGGAACACTGATTGAAATAGCAATGATTAAAATAACGAGAATAGTAAAAAATATTGTCCACAAGCGTTTCCTTTTTTGAAAATATTGACATCTAGAGAAATAGATTCGTTTTATTATATATTATAATTGATAATCTACATACAATAGGTTTGATTCTGCTGCGCTTGAACTAATGGCATCAGACTGAAATGTTTAAAAAAGACAAAAGATTATTTAGTATTGTTTTTATTTCTTTTATAAATTACATGAGAAATTGCTATACTGTTGTTATCCATAATTGATGTTTCATCCAAAGTTGAATACTTTTTCAATCTAAAATCTATAAAAAAAAATCTTCTAATTTACATATTTTCAGTGAATAGCGATTTGATTATAAGAAATGAAAACTATTTCTCAGTGTCTAGTTTAGTTAAGTAAAAAAAGAGAATGATGAAATCATTTGTAGATTAACTGTAACATTCTGAATTACTCAATTAAATTGTAACTCCATAATTATGAAAACAATAGAATATGTATTTATCAGATTACTAGTAAGTTATGTTCTCTCGAGTGATCAGTTCTTTATGCATATAATCATTTTAATGTAAAATATTTGCAGTAAAGAATAATACATAATAAAAATGTTTAACTCACCTCTTTTTATCAAGAATGATTTTGCAAAAAAAATGTTGTCAGATATGAGTTGTGTTATTTCCTATAAATATCAGACGTTTCTACGTAGGATGGAGAAGAAAACTGCTTAAACTAACATTTAATACAATTAGTATTACTTAATCTAACACTGAAAATCAGTGCTTTTCATAAAAAAAAATGTCACGTTTCCTGTGAGAATAAAACTAATGCAGTCAGATTCTCATTTTCTCTTTTTTATTGATAGATTGAGTTTAATATCTAAATGAAATATATCATATAAGAAAATAGGAACGATTAATAATTAATCTTTATATTTAAATCAACATATTCTTGACTAACTCTATCAAACTGAAAAATTGAAAAAAAAACATTGAATATATTTACTTTGTTGAAATGCTAACTAATAACCAACTATAATAACTCTTTTCTTTTAAATCAAATCGAAATATAAATGTTTTCGGTTATCTTCTTAAATAATTTATTAGGAAATTACTAAAATAATAGAAGTATTAATATATATAAGATTGAGAAAAAACTGCTCAACTAAACAACAATTTTATTCGCCTATGCGATTCATTGATTATGAAATCTTTTTTTTATCCTTTGCAACAAACACACCATATGGAAATAAAAAGAATGAGTTCTCTTCCTTTGTTCAGTTTAGCGTCATACAGAATCCTGCCAGATGTTACCCTTTTTTTCTTCTGTTAATAAGAAATATCACAGAAATGCTTTAATCATATATGTAAATGCAGAAGCAAACTTTCAATGAACATAAAACCTGACTTTTGTTAAAACAACATAAAAAATCATTATTTTTTAAAGGAAATACAAAGTTTCCGAAAAAAAGTAAAAAACTGTTGAAGTAAAATTTTTTATTATACTATATATATTCTGAAAAACAAAAATTTAGTCGATGTTTGATTCTATTAATGCCGTGAATACATTAGAAAGTCCCGGATCTTCTAATCTGTCTTATCCTTCATAAATTAAAATAGAGATCTTCTATTATGTCCATAAAGAAGAGAATATTTTCTTGCTACTTTCAACTATGTAGTTTTTATAAGTCTTTTAATTTTCTTTATATTGTTTTTAAAGGATTATTGAACTTTTTAACAGTATTACAGTCAAGTAAAGTCAATACTATAATAACAGAAAATTTCATAAAACTAGCATTTTAATTATAAAAATGTAAAAAGTTACATAAAATATGATTAATCGACACTTAAATATGGAAACATCTTTCACAGAATAAAACAAATCGTTCATACAATAATATCATTTCATATAATCAAAATAAAAAAAAGTTAATTTTTTCCACATGTCCCTCAAGCTAAGTTGAGGGTGTCGAAGTTTCATTGTTGAACCTGTAATTTTCGTGCAATCTCGATTTCTTTCTAATTAATTACCAAATAAGTTTAATATACTTTAATAGCAGGGGTGTTACTTTATCTATACTTTATAAATAAAGATATAAAGACTTACTTTATTTTTATTTTGTAAAGAATAAAGACAAAGAAATAAAGCAAATCTCTTTATATTTATAAAACAAAGATAAGGATAATCTTTATTTGCAAAAATAAAGTTAAAGTTAAGAATAAAAATACATTTTTTCATGCAATAAGTACATATGCAAATACTCTGTATAAAACATAATACGTTTATTAATGCTCTTTCTTATCATCATTTCCATATGCCATATCATCAAAAAAGAATCACACAAGAAACGATATATACGAAAAACGCTATTCCATACTATAGTTAACTATATAATATCATAATTTTTTGTGACGTACTCTAAAAAAATAAAATCTTTATTCTAAAGTAAATTAACGATCAAGTAACACCCCTCTTCAACAGTTATGTTTTGCCATCATAAAGCTCTTTTTTACAAAAATATACTGATATCTATTGTAATTATAAATATTTCCATCGCGTTCAGATAATGTGAATCAAAGCATAACAGATTAGATACAGTGACATCAACAAACTATTTATTAAACTTAACTGATGTCCTTCACACATGAAATAGTAGCTATTTATATTACACATTTTATAAGTTGAGATATTTCATGATATATCTTAATATTCAGGAGAAATTCTTAAGTAATCACATATAGAAGAGAGAAGTATCTGACAGAAAGTAAGAAAGAAATAACTATACCTGGTAATATATGTATATGTGCGTAAAAAAGAAAAAGAACGGATATTTATATTTAATATGTATGGCACGTCCTTTGTACGATATATGATGTTACGATCAATATGCAATGATAATAGTGGCTGTTGATCAAAGTTAATCGTATTTAAGGCTTTTCAATCATAGATCAAATTGATTGATAGTTAAAGAAAAATCAAGATGGGACGAACTGAGAATCAGTTTTGAATATCAAAAGGACAGAAAAACAAATTTGTTAAGTGTAGTTAAGGAACACAGCGGAACAGCGAATGCTAACAGAGTAGAAAACGGAAAAATCATCTATTAGAAGAGAGTCTTCTAATGTATCGTCGACTTTATCTAACATCCATTCTTAAGAAGAAAAACAAATCTTCATGTTTTATTTTTTGTCCATTGTATCGACAGAAATTCTTGGATATTTTTCACTGTTTCGTATTCTATTCGGTTTATTATTAATAGATAAAATTTATTATGTAGTATTATTTGTGTTCGTCAACATTTACTATTCATGTTCCAAATGAAACTTAAGATTTAGGTATAGCTATAGTAATGAAGTAAGAATTTGAGCAATGTGAATATAAAGTAATCAATTACTAAATAAGATCAAATGACAGCCGCAGACAATTATCTAACAATACTACAATGTATAGTTCATTAGAATTCTTATAGCTAATTCTCTTAAATAGCTAAAAATATGAAAAAAGTGTACTACCTTTCGTAAGTCATAAAACACAAATACAGTTTATTTTTGACACTAATTTTGATGCCGATATTCCCTAGACTGTAAGGATAGAATCTAGAAACGGGTACTGATCTATTTACATGTATTATTTTTGTCGGTAACATGGCACATTTGACGAGCTTTTTGGTACAAATGACCACGTAATTATGGCATATTTTCGATAGTATAATTTTTATTTTTAAATATCGCTTTATTTGAATAGTATAATATTTAAATTATTTATGTTAAAATAGTACGAATTTAAGTATTTGAAATATTTCTTAGTCATATATAACTTATTATTTTATTGAACAAATTAAAATAATAAAGCAACGCCAATTTTACTTTTAATATGGAGGAGAATGAAAATAATATTGAAAACAAAAAAAAACGGAACGTTCGTATACACAGAGTAATAAAATACTTTGAAAAAACTTTTTTCTGATTTTTATATAGCCTGTCGTTCATCATCGTCGACAAATATTTTTGATGCATGTTTGAAAAAACGATGATGTGCCGAAATGTCCAGTACGACAAGTCAAAAAAATTAAGACCCAGGATTAGAAGTTTAAAAACATACACATTGTAATTTGATAATTTTAAAATTTTAGTTGTTGCATTATTGCAAAACATTTTTAATAAGCTTGTTAGTTCAATAGTCTTGCTATAGTGCATATAGATTAAAGAGTTTAAATTCAATTATGATATATAACGATAGAGAGATCTACACTGTAATTGTTTTTTTGAAACTCTACTTTTTATAAAATTGAGTTTAATAAAGCTAAAGCATTTTTAAAGTTTATTATTCATTCGTCAAATATGAAACTTTCAGAAAATGTTTGATTTTATATAAAGTAGAAATTCAATTTGATTTCATGCTGAAAATCAAAACTAATATTGATCAACTATCATTCATATATATCTAAATACAGTCATATCCGCATGCAGACTGCGATAGCTAGGGTCAAGTGAATCGAGTTTTGATGAACGTCACTTGTTACTACAGTCTAAAATGGAATTTCATATCAAATTTCTACAATACCAGTTTTATTCTACTTTCTGTGACATTCAACAATATGCAACATCCTTATTAAATTCGAGCCAGTTCATTTTTTCATTCTTTTGTTCTCAAGATAATTCCGGCTAGATTTAATTAGATTCAATTCACAGATAGAACATTGCTCAAAAATCGTTTAGAATAAATTTGTCTCCGAAATTAGCAGTATATACACCTAAAATCATCTTTATCAACTTTTTATACATTGATAATAAAACTTATTGTTTTGAAGTAATATATACATCTAGGTCAATTTGAATACTAGATCGTATTATAGATTTACAGTTGCAATGAAATAATAAATGATTTATATTTCATAATCTCCAAATTTGTCAGGTTAAACAAGTGTATTCGAATTGTCTATCAGCCTCATTTTACTACTAGAAAAAAAGATTACGAATTCATTTATGACTTTTTCAAGTAGTTGATATTATCTTCTTTGAATATTGTTCATGATTCAATAATAAATAACAAAAAAAATCAATAGTGAATATCAAACAAAAGAGTAAAAATTATATGATAATGTCGATTTCTTAATAGAGTCAAACATTTAACTCAAGCTTTTCACAGTTTAGTCATGTAAGAATAAATTAATATAATTTGAAATAGAAAATGTTGATGCTGATATTGCATTTATGTTATTTTGAACCAAACTATAATAATTAAAGAATACTTTTCAAAAAAGCTAATTCTAGTTTTGAATCCAACACGACGCTAGAATCAGGTAGTCTTTCATTTTCATTTGGATTAGCTTGATTTCTACTATAAAGAAACCATCGTTTGCATCGTCCCCAACATTTCTTCACTAAAACATCTCTCACTTGTCGACGAAATTGTACAGATATTATCAAAAATATATAAAAAGATAACTATAAACAATCACATTTATAACACAAATTATCTATAGTATCTCACCGCATAGTTTACATTAAACAATCTTACTAAAAATTGATCCAATCAGAGTATTAATTGTATAGTAAAGTTGATTTAATTGATTAACTTTTGCAACATATGTATACATTCTTTGAATATCATAAGGCAATGTTAAAAGAATAAATAATATAATACGATTAAGTATCATTGCAGTTAATTTTTGATCAAGTTTTCGTCGAACTATTGGTATTTGTCTTCGAACTAGGCGTCGAACATTATTATATGCCAGAAAACTAAATATTGATACAATAAGAACAAGTAAAAGTCCAAATAGAATTGGATAATAGAAATAATATATATAGTTTGTCATACTTTGATTATATATACCGCAAAGAGATGCTCTGATTTCAAGAAATATACTATATGGTATGGTATGTAATATTGAAATGATAACTGATGTACATATAAGAAATCTTGTTAATTTGATGGTAGATAATTGTCTCAAATAAAAGTGATGAACCACCTGGATCAGTTTGATATATTGCTGTGAGTATATAGATAAGAGCGAAGATAGTTAGTTGAAATATGTTTGCGATTTATTCTGTGACAACATAGAGTACATATTGATTATTTCGAAAGAATTTTAAAGTAGTAAAAGTAAGGATATTGAGTAGATTTCCAATTGTATCAATGATAAATATAAAAGAACTACTATAAAGTGAATATTGTTGGGTAGGGTGTGGGTGTGGGCTTGAATGTGAGTGTAGGTATGAATGAGGAAGAGACTCACCCGCCCTACCACCCATATCCACATACACACCCAAACTCATACCTACATCCTCAAGAATTTTCTAGTAATTGCCTAAGGGAATCAAAAAGATTCGTTCCTAATCATTCTATACTGGAGAAAGCTGTTACGTGACTTTCGTCTATTCCGTTGAATTCTTCAGTTCCACATTTAGAGATGCATGATTTAGAACTTCTTCAAAATTTTCCTGATTCTTTTTGTTAATCTTACGTTGTTTTCTTTCCTCTTCTTATTGTTGTTATCATGTTTTGCTTCTCACTTTAGTTAAATTTATGTTTTGTCTATTTCTTTATACAAGTTTTGACCTATCATAACTTTGAATTGTTTTTCATGTAGTCGTATATCATTCTTTATATTATGTGTTTTATGCCTTTTTTCTTTTTCTTTCGCTTTCTCATGTACTGTTAGAATCGAATGATCGTAGTTTTTATGCAAATAAAAAAAAATACAATTCGAATTACTATGAACTATTTCAGCAACAGAAAACATTATTTTAAATTAGTTATGCAGTCGAAGGGTAAGCGAGTCTGCCTCGACATGCGTTATTTATAGTTTATTGTCAATACACTCATTTTGTGATGATCATTTGCAACAGCAATAATAATTATTATTAGGAGCATCACAAGGATCAGCATCACCAATAGTATCGCCGGTGCCCAGACTACTATAACGACAACTAGTAGGATCAGTAGTAATACTACTACAAGTTGTGGTACTAGCAGAAGGAAAAGCATGAGTATTATTATTACTAAAATAAACACCATAACCAAATCCAGGACAAGCGACTGCACAAGTATTATGGTAATTAGTACCAGCATTATTCATACCACTAACCATACAAGAAGTACAATTTACTAAAAGAAAAGAAAAGAGAGATAACTGCTATGAATATCATTTTATTTCAAACAAAAAAAAAGAAATTTTTCAAGCTTTCGTATGCAAGTCATGCATACATCATCAGGATAACGACGTTTGCGAAGATTCAGTAAAATTGTTCCAGTTCTTTTTCGTCATTAAATGTTAATATATGACAACGAAACACAAAAATGAACACTTTATATAAGTCATAGTATAATTGATAGTCAGTAATTTAGAAGTAATAATAAAAATATGAAAGAGAAACAACAAGAAATGAGCAGTTTCTACACATATCACACTGCAATTAATAGTCAGATCTTACGAGGGTGTTGGTGTCGTTGTGAAACATTAATAGTCATAGACTAAGTCATTCTAAACCCTCACTAAACTTTTGTTTGCTTTCACAGATAACCTAAGATTCATTAGGAAACTTTGATTTAAAGAAACAAGTACGTCACGCATCCTTAGACTCTAGGAAACCCCTGAAAAATATGTTCTATAAGATTCAATCGATATTGATGGAATTATATCAATTTCGAGAACTCGCGACACACAAACAGACTCAATAAATATTACATGTCTTTGATGATCTGGTTGATGCATGACAGTACTCATAACATTGGGGTCAGATAGAACGCGCATCTCTTTTCGTTTAGATGGATATTTCCAATTCTCTTCTATGCTATATTTACAAGCAATGACGTTATCTGATTTTTATTGAGCCATAGTATCTATTATTATCAAACTTTTCTGCTTCAATGATGAGTTATTAACGTGATCACTGAGTTCTACTATGCGAGTATTTTTTATCAATAATATATTCGTATACTATCGTCAAAATCGATTAGCATGTCTAATATTTGACTAAGCGTAGATAGAATCTTGTCGTCAAAAATTGATCCTATTTTTAGCCCTCATACAAAGTTCCCTGATGTTCTAGATCTAGATGAGGGATATTGGACAGCTAAAATCAAAACTTTTAGATTTGATTATTTGTGATACTCGTCGTTTAGGCAATTATAAATCATCGAGCATATTACTAACCTGGTATAGTTGTTGTAGTTGTTGTCGATGTGGTTGTTGTAGTTGTGGTAGTTGTAGT